CAGAACACCTGCCTTCAAGAAGCTTCCATCTAAAAGGGGAGAGGAGATGGGAAATTAATGTTTATCCTGTACCTGTTATGTACCCGGAGGCCCTGCTAGGCATCACGCATACGCGCTCAGATCTGGCATCACAGCACCGTATTACGAGACAAGCATGATTCATACCTGTTTGAAAGGTAAAGAACCTGAAGCCCAAGGTCACTCAAATAAAAGATGATAGAAGAAAGATTTAAATGTAGCGCTGAGTGATTCCACTGCTCCATATTCTTTTCTCATGGTGCCTCTGATTAGGGAGATGTACACGTTTCCAAATAAACATAATACAGGGCACAGTAAAATCCGTGCTGGAAGGGTGCCTGGGGGGCTCAGTCGGTTAAGTGTCTGCCTTCAGCTCAGGTCCTGATCCCGAGGTCCTGGGATCAAGCCCCTCGAGTCCAGCTCCCCGCTCAGTGGGGATCTGCTTCTCTCTCTCCACCCCCCCGCCCCTCCCCACAGCTCGTGTTTTCTCTCTCTCTCTCTCTCAAATAAAGAAAATCTTAAAAAAAAAAAAAAAATCCATGCTGGAGAGAGAAAGATACAAATAGCACTTAGAGGTTGGGGTGGGATCAAGGACGTCTCCACAGAAGAGGGCATTTAGGACACATCTTGGATGATGTGTAGGATGTGCAGATAGAGACTGTGGGGAAAAGGCACGAACATATGTGTGGAAGCACAGAGCTGTGCAGTCCTGCTTAGCCAGAGGGTGAGAGGTAGGCGTGGTGTACTAGGAGGGGAAAAGTAGTTAGGATCGAAAGAATCCCTTTCTGTCTCTTACTAACAGAATGACTGTGGAACCGCTCTGGGCTTCCGCTTCCTCACTGATAGAGGAGAGGGTTCTTTCTTCACAGGATTGTTGTAAATATCAAGTGAAATAATATGTATATAAGAACTTTGTGGGGGCACTTGGGTGGCTCAGTTGGTTAAGTGTCTGACCCTTGGTTTCGGCTCGGTTGTCATCTCAGGGTTGTGGGATTGAGCAATCAGCAAGAGTCTGCTTGTCCCTCTCCCTCTGCTCCTCCCCGTTCTCTCTCTCTCTCTCTCAAATAAAATCTTTAAAAAAAAAAATAATAACTGTTAATTCTGAAGTACTGAACTGCACCTCTCATTTACAGGACGGGAATTAGAGCAGGTTGGGTCTGTGCTAGTCTGTAACTGTCACCGCCATCATTGTTTGCTAAGTGGTGGCAATCCACTGAAGGTCTCTGAGCAGAGAAGGAATGTGACCAGAGCGACTTTAGAAAAGTCAGTGTGTCAGTAGATGGAGTGGCAAAGGTGAAAGGCGGGAGCACAGTTAAGGCAAGGGGTGATGTAGGATGATGTAGGGTGGAGGCAGAAAAGGAGGAGAAGATGATGCTGGAAATGTTGATGAGAGATTAGCCAGTCCTGGCAGTGAGTGGATGCGCAGAAAAATCGAAAGGGAAAATGATGGCAGCCTGGAAGCAAAGCTGGGTGTTGAGCAGAACGGGGGTGTGGTGAAGTGGGAGAGAAGCTAGGGGATGGTGTTGGAGTGCCGGTGGGGCATCCAGGTGGAGGTGTCCAGAAGGCAGAGAAAATACAGACACCGGGCTCAGAAGAGCATCGGGGCAGACAGGAAGGCCACCACGGAGGGGAGTCAATAAGGTAAGAACCCAGAAACAATGGAGGCAGCTGAAGGCAGCCCCATAGGAACTGTTTCATTTGGAGGTGGGAGGAGAAAAAACATACTTGCAGAGGAAAAAGCCAGCTGACTCGAGAGACCAGTGTGCAGGACTGTGAATGCCAAGCAGGAGGGGTTCCTGGGCGGGGGCGGTGAACAGTGTGGGCCATTGTAAAGAGGTCAGTGAGGAGGAAGGCCGAGAAATAGTCATGGGTTTGCAGATTATACAGTCATCCATTGACATTTCCGAGGGCGGTGTGTGTTGTGGGTAAAAGCCAGATCATTGGGGGCTAGGTGGAAGGAGAGGAGGCATTCCCTTACGGGGATAACAGCATTCAAGTCCTGTCTTGGTGTTATTTTTCTATATGAGGAAGGAATGGGTATGTTTGTTGGTTGTGGAGGAAAAGCCTGTAGAGAAAGATGATTAACAAAGGCAAGAAGAGTTGGTTGGGCCAAGTCTTGCAGCATCACAAGCAGAAGTTGGGATGGAGGCTTGGGTTGACTGACCCTGGAGGAGAGCAGGGACAGAAGGGACAAGAGAAGAGGGAAGAAAGAGATTTTGAAGTACAGAGACAGTAGGTGGTGGCCCCATTGTTTTCAGTAACAGAAGGCCTGAGCATCTGGGGCTGGGGATGTAACCCTGAGTCTGAGAAGAACAGAGAAAATTTGAGAACCCGCTGTTGTGGGGAATATGGGAGAGGCATCCAGAAAAGACCTAGTCAGGCCTGTCCCCTCGGTCCTCCCATCCCCAGCCAATCACACCTTGTCCTGGAATTGCGGAAATCCAGCAGCACTGATAGAGGAAGATAGGCGTGAGGACGTAACCGCTCCCCAGCCCCACACAGACACTTTGGATTCCATTTACACTGAGGCCTAGAGTAGCTTCCACCCTTCTGTAACTCCTCAGATGTTTCTTGGGTCATTTCGGCAGGCAGAGAGAGGTCTTGCCTTTGCTCTGTGTCTGGGAGTGTGTTTGGTCCCTCAGCAGACAGGGATCCATGTCATGCTGGTCACAGCATGCGTCCAATCGCTGGACAGACACGTCCCCTGCTAGTTAACCTGCCCCAGGCATTGCCCCTCTGTGCCCCCCACCCACCAGTCACAGCAGATAGAGCCCAGATGTCTGGCTCGTGACCAAGTTCTCCTGCACAAAAAAGGAAGGGGAGGCGGCAGAGGGAGGGCAGAGCAGGGGTGGGGAGGGGAGAGAGATGCATCTCCCACTAAAATGCATGATATGCCAGAGAGCAAGAGAAGGCTGCGTGTCTGTTAGAGAGAGAGGTGAGGGAGAGAGGGAAGGGAGGACAGCCAATGGCCCCTGAGAGCCGGGGAGCAGCTAGGTCTGGGGTCTCCCAAGTTCCAGGCCAGTCCCCCTGAGGGGGTCAGTGTGATCCCCCCTTCACCTGTCAGCAGTCACCCTTTTCCTGAGGCCTGGAAGGCAGCACCTCTCCCACCCTGTTCTGCCTCAACTCTCATGAGGACAAGTCCCTCTTGGCCCCATCACACTATAGACACTCTTTTCTTCTTACTAGCAAGTTCTTTGTTTCCCCCACTGTGGTAACGAAGGCGGGCACCAACAGCATTGTTTAGATTGAAAAACAGTAGACAAAGGGAAATAAGTTCTGGGAAAGTTCACTCTCACTGACAACAATAATAGGATCAGGGAGGGAGTAATGTTACGTCGTTGGGGGTGAAGGGGTGAAAAAGAAAAGGTTGGCTTTGACTTTCCATCTCCGAGTGCAGCAGGGAGAAGAACAGAGAAGCAGACCACTCCTCGCCAGGCGTGGAGGTGGTCCTGGGGGGCTCAAGGTGTCCGGACTCTGTGTGGACCAAGGAGGTGACAGAAGGAAGACATCAGTCTTCTGTGACATCAAAGGAAAAGACCAGACTGAACAGAGCTGGGAGTGAACAGAGACAGATACTTGGATGCTAGTGCATCGCCGTGGGTTGTTTTGGGGGTAGAGAGAAGCCATGGAGGTTTGAGACAGGACCGCGTATCCATCCAGTTAGTTTCAGTGGAGGTGACGGAACGCAGATAGGAGTCATGACTTGGGGCATCGGGCTCCCAGGGGCCCGAAAGTGGGGCCTGTGTTTCACGGAGTGGAGAACCAGGCATCTGAGAACTCTAACCAGTGATTTTTAGGTGGTATGGGGGGCATCTGACTCTCCACCACCTCGCTGGTACATGCTCTAGCCAGCCTACCCCAAACTTCACATCTCTTGAGCTTCTGCGGCCTCACTTGTAGGAAGAGGAATGTGGACTCTTTGATACCTTTGAGCTCTAAAACTCCCTTCTGCTTCAGAACCCTTTTGGATAAGCTTATTCCACACCTGAAAGTTTCTGATCCAGGGTTAAAAGGAACCCTGGGGTAGGCATAAAGACCACCAGCTTGGGGCTGGGCTGTGGTGCCAGACAGCCCCAGCCCCAGATGGGGGGCAGGGAGCCCCTAGCGGACCACAGGGGAAACCGCAGGCCCGGGGCAGGATATGCAGTGACCAGAATGCCAGGGCGGATCACTGCTTTTGAGGAACGGCTATTTTAATCCACAGAAGTGTGTAAGTGCCACAACTCCCACTTGTATTAACTTGTGTCTTCGGGATGTTTTTGCTGGGTTTGCGCAAAATGATTTAGCACCTTGACGTCTTGTGACTGTCGCCATAGCATTAGGGGAACACAGGTTCGGGTTCTGCAGCCAAAACAACATCTGGAGCCCATGCTGCCGATGGTATCACCCGGGTAACTGTCTGAAGGGGCCCAGCCCGTCCTTCTGCACACGGAGCTGCCTGCCCCAAAGGGAGTGTTCCCACCTCCTTTCTGGAGCCTCGTCCCCAAACGCCCAACATGAGCTGTGACGAATAGGGTGCACCCCACCCGCAGAGACTGGATGCCACATGGCAGCTTCTCTTTTGGAGTTCTTGTCCAGGCTGCACATTGAATTCCCTTGCCGGGCTTCAGTTTGGTCTGTGGAGGGAAACCAGATTTTACCAGAAGATTAAGGAGGTGTTTGTAACAGTCTCAAAGGGTGTTGCTTGCTTTGTTTACATAAAGAGATGAACTGTCATCTACTCGTTTCACTGATGCGGACTTCCTTTCCTAAAATGTTGCCCCCCCCCCAAGGGCGAATGCTGGGCAGTGCAAAGCTTGCTCACAAATAGGACTTGGAAAGCTTTTTTGTTAAAAACCTAAATAACATCCTGTGTCAAAACAAATGTGACAATGGGCTATTATTTCTATCCCCATAATAGCATGTTGTCACATCTTTGTGCCCTGCGGGGCGCGGCGAATGGGCGATGGGCGGAGAGGCAGGGACGAGGGGGAGGGGGCGGGGAGGCGCGCTGCCACTTGGAGTAGCGCTTCCTGGTTGCCTGGGATTTGCCGCTCCCCCAGGAGGTAACTCCGAAGTTCATTTCTGCAGGTGCCCGGCCACAGCCTCGAGTTCACTTCCAGAGGAGAGCCCTGCGGCTGCCTGAGAACACCAGCTACAGCGACCTGACGGCCTTCCTCACGGCCGCCAGCGCCCCGTCCGAGGTGGACAGTTTTCCTTATCTGCGAGGCTTGGATGGAAATGGAACAGGTAATTGGAGTCTGTTCTCCTCTCAGCGGGGGCTTCTGTGGTTGCATTTGGGGATGTGGCTCGAAGCGTTAGTACTGCCCAGAAGAACCACCGGAGTTGTGAAAGTTCAAGTGCGTTAGAGCGGTGTTAGTTCGGGATTCCCGTCTACACCACGGCAGGAGTACATTTGAGTGCACCTGTCTCCTTCAGCCATCTTGGCTGACGTACCTTCGGAGCTCCCCTTTGGTAGACTAAATATATTTAATTCAGAGAAGTGCTTATAATTGAAGTTGGGTTTGTTGTTTTTTTTTCCCAAGGATAAGGCTCTCTGCCCTTGTCCCACTTCCCTCTGGAGTGGGTTTGGTGGAGCCGCCTGCGTGGCCACCCTCCCTCTCCCACCCACGGGTCACAGCGGGGAGGGGAAGGTGGGCAGTGGCTCTGATGCAGACAGTGGGGACAACGGGGATGTCATGTCTAGGAATCAGGAGCATTTAGGAGCGGGATCCTCTTCTCTACCATCTGCACCCACCCAGCATTTTCCCACATCTTTCCATCCTCTGCGCTGCTCTCTTTGCCTTGACTTGGCAAGCAGTGGTCAGGCTTTGATGTTGATTTGAATCCAGACCTCTAAGTCAGCTTGGTCCGTGTCACCCTAGACTGGCCGGACACATAGAACTAAAAAATCAGAGGAACGAAAAACCAGCAGCCAGAAAATATGTAACAATTCCTTATCAGTAAAAAGACTGGCTTGCAGCCAACAGTGCACTCTGCACTCGTGTGGTGCCTAGTCCTAGGGACTGGAAAGTGGCAGATGCTGAGGTCCTGAGTCATTTCTTGTCTCCCCTCTTCTTTTCCCGACACTTTTAATTAGTCACAACATAAACTTGAAAACCAGAGGCTGTTCTGGGTTAAATCCTACCAGGTGAGGAGGTGACTGCATTTTCCCCAAAATGCTTTTATTGAATTTCCCTGACTTGTCCAGTGCTTTACATAAACGGATCTTGGATCCTTCTGAAAAAGCTTTTACACCTGCAGCATCTGATCCATTTTGTAGAATGCTGACGAATTTCTGGTGACCAGTCAAGGTGACCTGGTGATTTGTTACTCACTTTTCGCCCGTCTGTGGCACCTGCTTTCAGAAATGGTTCTTCTTACTTCAATTTTATACATGATGAAGATGCAATTAAGACATCAGTAACTGGCCATCGGATAAAACTGCATGGTAGTCACTTTAAGTAAACATTATTGGGGGGAAAATGTTGACTTTTACTCTAAGCGTACAGGCCCAGGAGAAAAGTAGTATTTCAGGGAACATGAAAAAGTACAATTTGAGACCATCATGCAACCTCCACCCAACAAATGGTGCACAATCATAAAACCCTAACTTGGAGGGACGACCTCATTCCTCAGAGCTCATTAATTTTTCTGTGCCCCATTTCCAAGAGCTCTTGAATAAATTATGAAATCCGAGATGATGGGGGAGGGAGAAGAACAAAAAGACATAGAACTATTGATTTTAGAGGGGTTTGTTTTATTTTAAAATCACTGTGTTATTTCAGAGGGAAGAAAGAAGGTCTTTAGAAGGTTACATGCAACTTCTTTTCCACTGAAAACACTGACAGCTGATGTGGGAAGAGGAATCCGACCTACTTGAGGGCTGCCAGGAAAGGCGACCACCCCTGGGCATGTTGGCTCACACCTGTGAGCACATTGGAGCGTGGGCTCCGCTTAGCACCCCGACATCTCACCAGCTAGGTGCCTATCTCCAGTTTCCCATGGTGCAGAGCCTCTCTTCCCCACCCCCCAACACTTGCTTGCTTGCCTCCTGTTTTATAAGATGCATCTAAGAGATCTCAGCTTTGCGTGAGGGCCCGGCCCACACATAGCTGTGTGAGACGGCAGGTCCTAACCAGAGTCCGGCAAAGGTGAATGGAGGCCACGAGTGGGATTGGAAAGGGCTCTGAAGGCTGGTGTCCTCGGAGTGTTCTTGGTTGTGTCCAGTTCAGAGGGAGTTTATCCAGAGTTGTAAATAGAACAACTCAGCCAGATGGAGATTTGGCCCATGTTCTCATTTGTTCACCTCCGTCCACCTGCTCCATAGTGTCCTGGTGTCACATGGGGCCACCGGCTCCCCCACACAGGCCCGAGACACTGCACCTTCGGCATCACGCTCCCCACTCTGGTTGCTAAGAAAGCACACAACCGTCCTTTGACATTCCCAAGGAGTTTTCAAGAAATGACTCCTACTAGTAACTCCAGGAAGACAGAGAGGAGTCCATAAAATGACTAACATCCAGCAAAGCTGGAAACAGAACGCAAAGCCAAACAGAACCCTAGATGCTCTCTGAGCAAAACCCCTCACATTACAAGGGATGGGTCGGAGACCTCCTAAGCTTGGTCCAGTGGTGCTGCCTCCTCCCCCTGCTGCCTTTGCCTGACACCTATCTTTATTGGGACATGACAGGAGCCTGGTAACATCAGGAGAGGGGACAAGAGGGAAAGATCTCATTATATACAGAACTCGGTGCTTTGTGTAGAGTTGCAGTCTTAGAACAAGTGCTGGAAGGGAAACAGTTGAGCCCTTCAAAGTATGACTCATTCCAGAATAGAGTGGGAGGGTAAAGGGAGAGTGTTTGGGAAGGCATAGAGTACGAGTGGGCCTTTAGCGGGGCACTGAGAAAGAGAAAAGAAGCCTCAAGAAAGCAAGTGTAACTGCCTGCTCTGTCTTCTAACGGAGAGCTTTTAAAAGAACCTTAAATCACATGAACCTAATGTATATTGCTTTAATTAAGATGCCCTTTTCTGCAATGCTGTACTTACTTCTAAATGTTTATAGCTGAGTCTGTTTTCTTTCCATAGGCTCATAGGAAGGCATCTAGTCCAGATAATGCAGATAAGAAAAACAAATCCCTGAGGAGTGAAGTAACTTCCCTGAGGCCACATATGCGGCTAGTGGGTGCATCTGGGACTGGAACCCCGGCTTCCTGGGCCAGGAATGTACAAAAAAATAGGAAGGGAGAATTGCTGAGTGGGGATGAGGAGGCAGAGCTAAGTGAGAGGCAAGGATGGATGAGGAGTCTGGAAGGCTTTCCTAGTCTACCTGCTGCTTCCCTGTGCAGACTTCCTGCCTCAGGTTTGCTGAAAGCCCCAGTTCTCCCCAGTTGAGAACGTTATGTCCGAGTTGTTTATTACAAAGGCTAGTGAGTTCCTGAAATTTTCTTGGTTTTCAGTTCTGTCTAATCCAGAGAGTCTAACAGAACCTAGAGAGGTACATCATAGACCTGGCTTGACTTCTGTGTTCCCTTTGGGCAGTTGGCACATTTAGGTCTCAATCCAGAAGATATTTTGACCAGAAATTTGGTAAATTCTGGGTTTTCTTTACCCACAAGTGAAATGGCCAGACTGAAAGATTTCAGAACTTGAACCTGTGATTCCAATGTGGACCTTTTGATGAAATTCCCATTATCGTGCCTTCTCCTTCAATGACAGAGATGGATATAAATTGTAAAAGGTAGTTCTGTCATGACTCATATATAAATTGCTCTACAAAGAGTTTAGCTATAACTTGTGTTGAAACTCTAAAATTCACTTAGATTTGCTTTAAATGTTTACATCTAGTCCTAAGTGGAGGTTCGCATTAGCTCAGGTAGTTGATGGGTAGGTAAGTATCTAAGTAGCTTAGTAAGAAATCCTACAGATTATGTTCTAATGGAGCTTACATTTTTTATCACCGTGCTTTTGTCATTGTGCTCAAGATTTAAAATTATAACAGAAAACATTTTGTGTGATATTATATTTCACTGGAGAAAAATTGTCCTAAAATGGATTACTTAAGTAGATAAATATAGTATCGCTGTCATAAGCATTCCCTGATTTATCTATAAAGTAGGCAGTCATTAAAGCATTGGCTTGGGTAAAAGGCCTCTAATGTAGAATAATTGGGATATTAAATTCCTTTTAAACAGATCAAAATAACAATGGCAACTAAAATAACTCATAAATATTTCAAGTCCAGGTTTTCAGTAGTGTACTTTTAGTAGAAGTAAGTTAGGATTTTGAAGCACTCCTTGAAAAAAAAAAATTCCTTTTTTTTAAGCAGTCTCTAATGCAAAACATTTGGTTTCCTGATGGGGCTCTGCCAAGTAATTAACACGTGCATGGGGCTGACTTTGTCTAGGAGTTGATTTCAGGGATTTCTACACATCGCCTCCTCTCACCTTACAGATGAGTCTTCCTTTTGAGGCCCCTCTTTGAAAGCAAAGCACCATAGTATAGTTGAGTCGGCAGATCTGAGCTTAGATCCCAGACAGACCACCATGCCCTTGGGGTCAGCTCCCATTACTACCCTCTGTGAGCCTGTGTCTTTTATCTGTAAACTGTGGATTTTGCCTACCTTACAAAGATGCGGTGAGGATTTTATAAATGTAAAGGGCTTACTGCCGTCCCTGGCACGTAGGAGGTCCCATACTCAGTGAATGGCAGATGCAGACGGTGGCAGGAGCCCCCCGTAGGTCCCTTTTGCACGTATGATGGAGAATCCCTCTTGCTTCCAGGAAACGGCACCAGGTATGACCTGACCCCAGTCACGGCCGTCAGCGTCCACTTGCTCAGCAGCGATGGAACACCGGTGCTGGTGGATGGTCCTATTTACGTCACCGTGCCCCTGGCCACACAGAGCATTCTGAGGCACAATGCTTATGTCGCCGCGTGGCGGTTTGACCAGAAGCTGGGTAAGCGAGACTCCTGTGATTGGCTAGCAGGGGACTTCATGACTGTTTGATTTTCCTTTTAAGAAGCCCGTGCAAATCTCCTCTCCTTGAAGGTACTGAACGTTGTGCGGTTTCTGGCTGGTGAAGCTCACGCCACTGGGCCATGCAGGCACGCTCTCTGGAGGCTTCTCTTATTTTCGTTTCTGTTGTACATTTAAGCTAACTTACTTGAGTCTTTAAAGGTCATTAGAGCTAAAATTGGCTCCCCTAATCTTGAGCCTTTTATTCTTTAGGTTCTGTCGTCTCTCTTGGTCATGTGGTTTTTAAGTTTAATGAAGAAGGAAAAACATTGCCAACAACGTCCCAAGAGAAACTAAAATGACCCATAATCCCCCCACCTAGAGAAGACCACTAATCGTATTTGGCATTATATCCTTCCAGTTATTTCACCCTCACGTATGTGTTAGTTATTTGTCGCTGTACAACAAATTGCCCTAAGACTCAGCAGCTTCAAACAACAGTGAGCATCTCTTATCTCACATTTCTGGAGGATCAGGAGTCCAGGGACAACCTAGCTGGGTGGTTTCTGGGTCAGGTCCTCCGGCAAGGTTGCCGTCAGGCTGCCAACCAGGGCTGTGTTCATCTCGGGGTCGGGTGGGGGCTGGTGACCGTGCTTCCCATCCCGCAGGGCTGTTACAGGCCTCAGCTCCTCACTAGCTGTTGGTCTGTTGGTCGGAGGCTTTCATTCCTTGCCCTGGGGGTCCCTCCATAGGGCTGCTCACAACGTGGCAGCTTGCGTTCACTGGAGCAAATGATCCAAGAGAAAAAAATAAAATAAAATACAGAAGCACAAGTGGGCAAAATGGAAGTCACAGTCTTTTACAACCTAATGTCAAAGTGTGACACACCATCGCTTCTTTCCAGATGCTGTTGGTCCCAAGGCCCAACATAGGTACAGGGTGGGGTGGACTGCACAAGCATGTGAACACCAGCAGGTGGGGATCCCTTGGCACTCTTAGAAAGGCTGCCTTCTGCAAAATATATTTTTAACAGGAATGGGATATATGCTATAATACTGTTCTGTAACTTGCCTTTAAAAACCACTTGCGTATCATAAACATCTTTATGTAGCATCAGCTGTGAGACTGCAATGTCAAAATTAATGATTGCGTAGTATTTCATTATGTCGATGTGTCATAATTTGGTTGCTCTGTGCCCTATAATTAGAGAAAACATTACTATTCTTACCAGTGTTGTGAAAAATATCTTTGTAGCTAAATCTTTAGGCATGGCCATGGTTGTTTCCTTAGGATAAAATTTTAGAGGAAGTGATACTGCTGGATTAAAAATGTATGAAATTCTAAAGCTTTTAATACATCTTTCCAGATTGTTCTCTAGGAAGTTTTATAGTTGATGCTCTTCACAACAATATGGGCACACATGCTTGTGTGCTTAGATTTTCATACCATCTTCGTTCTTATACCCCTTCGGTACCCCGTCCCTTGAAAGTCAAGCTTGAAAATGCCAGTTTTCAGATGCCCTCATCCAGAATTTTAAAGCATTAGACCATGCATAAAGATTATTGGGAGATGTTTGATGTCAAATGTATTTTCAAAGATACCTAATTCGATGAGGAGTCAAATCATAGTTCTGGGAGGGGTGCCTGGGTGGTTCAGATGGTTAAGCATCTGCCTTCGGCTCAGGTCATGATCCCAGAGTCCTGGGATCGAGCCCCACATCGGGCTCCTGGCTCAGCAGGGAGTCTGCTTCTCCCTCTCCCTCTGCTTCTCCCACTGCTCATGCTCTCTCTATATATATATCTCTGTGTCTCAAATGAATAAATAAAAAAAAGCTTTAAAAAATCATAGTTCTGGGAATTTATATTTGAAAAAAAATGCCTGTTGGGTGTCTGGGGTTTGGTCTTGTTTTATTTGTTTTGTTTTGCTTTTGCTTCGTTTTGCTTTCCAAATAATTACTAACAGGAGCCATAATCATTTGTGTGGAATTCACTGATTTCACTAAAGACGTACTAAACTTGACGTTGACAGATGGACGGTGCCATTTCCTTAACATAATCCTGCACTGAGATAGGCTGCCGCTGACGTGTGTTCTCAAGGACTTAGTCGGGACCTAAGGAGCCCAGCACCTCCCAGAAGAAGACAGATGGAGAGGGGCGTGCCTGGGAGAATCTCAGAAGAACACAGGAGAAAGTAGGAAGGAGAAGGGAGACAGCTTGTATTTTGTATCCTGAAAATCTGGGTCTGCTCTTGTAAAGCTGTAAGTCCCACCTTGGGCAAATCCCCGTGCCTGTTTTCTCATTCGTATAAGGTGTGTGTTTGTCAAGGCTCTTATTCCCTTGTATGTTCTGCTTCTCTCCCTTCGACCTCCTAGTTGGCCCCAAATGTGCCCAGGTCAGTGCACTGAAGCAGCAGCATGACTTGTGGTTAAGAGCAAGGGGCCTGGGGGCACACTGGATTGTTATTCCGCCTCTGCTACCCACTGGCTGTGTGGCCCCGAGCAAGTTACTTAACCTCTCTGTGCCAGTTTCCTCAACTGTGAAATGGCGATGATAATAATAATGTTGTTACAAAGAGTGTATTAGACAAAGTTCTCCAGAGAAACAGAACCAATAGGGTGTGGGGGTGGGGGTGGGGGTGTGTGTATATATATATACATTAAGGAGGAAAGAGATTTATTTTAAGGAATTGGCTTATACATTTGTGGAAGCTGGCAAGTCTGTAATCCGCAGGGTCAGCCGGCAGACTAGAGACCCAGAGAGAAGCCGATACTGTAGTTTGTGCCCAAAGGTAGTCTGCTGGCAGAATTCCCTCTTCCTTGGGAGAGGTCAGTCTTTTTCTTAATGCCTTCAACTGACTAGATGAGGCCCACCCATATTATGAAGAGTAATCTACTTGACTCAGCCTACTGATTTATGTGTTACTCTCACTTTAAAAATACCTTCAGTGCATAAGTCAAACAGA